GGGGGGGGGGGGGGGGGGGGCGGATTGGTGAGTGGCGAGAGGAGTTGGGTTCAAGAGGAAAGGATGGGAAATAAGGGTACGGTCAGGGATATAGCCTAGTGCGGTGGCCTAATGGGATTGGTCCGTCCGTGTAAAAAGCGTCGGGACGCGACCCGACGGCTACAGTCGGAAATCCGTGGAACTCGAGAACCCATTAACTCCATTTTTCATAGCGCTATGGAAGCGTCATTGAGGTTTTACATCTCTACCGGGGTATCAATCCACCTGGTCCACCCCTACGGGTAGGGTGAATACGTGTGTCGCTGTCGCTCTTTCTCTTACTGTTAGGTCTGGTTGTCTCTCTTGGTCTCAGGGAGAATTCTCTCCGCGTTACGATGGAATTTGGCTGAGAATTATTCGAGACATTGGAAAGGGACACTTTTTTTGAGGGAAGGGATGTCTTTTTTTTACGCGGACTTTCTAATCGTCGAGTACTGTCTTGCTTTGAGGTTGTTCTTTTTGGGTTTTTTTAATTTTTTTTCTTTTTTTCGCAGTCGGCAAAAATCACCTGAAATCATGACCCATAATCTATTTTTGTGGGGCGCACGTGTCGTTTTTGTCCTCCCTGAATCGCTTTTCGTATTTCAGAAGAACGTGAATAATGTCTTGGGCAAATGAAGCCAATTTGTGCGGTCGTCTAATGAGCGTGCGCTTTTCGAGAGTGCTTGCCATGGAAGCCGCGGGATAGACAAAGATAGAGACAGAAGGAGAGAAATAGACAGAGAGAGAGAGAAAGAGAGAGAGGAGGGGGGAGAGAGAGAGAGAGAGAGAGATAATTAAAGGCAAAGAAAATCATGCCTGACTTCATGATTGCAGTGTAAACATGGGGATAATCAGGTATATCCTAACCTGTACGAGCAATCTGACAATCTGATAAAATTGACTAGTGAAATCTGTTAATGAATTAATTACAAAGTTAAAATGACGTTTTGTCACGAGCAACCATTGAAAATTTATCACGGATCGGTCTTCAGTGTCTCGTTTACCAATCGCATTGAAATCCCTGATCCCAAGGAATCTTCAAGCAGCATACACAAGGATTCGGGTTGCTTCAAGAGACACAAAGATTTTAATTTGTTTCTGTGAGGCGGACACGAAGATCAAACAGATTGTGTTCTTTTAGCGTGCAGCCTCCAATCCTAACGGATACGAAAAGAGACGCACCATGGCCGTATAGCTGACCTTAGTAGCGGGTCCTTGTCAGGTACCCAGTCGAACCTGAATTCATTGATACTCTAAAGGTTAGACCTCTCCCTTAACTCACTCTGACGGTCACAGATAGGTTAGACTATTGTACCTCGGTTGGGTCGAACTTTTATACCTTGACGCGTACCCTGGATAAGAGTTCCT